GAAAGGCCTTGAGTTTTTGTTGAGCCCTTTGAAATCTGAGAGAAGGTAGAGGAGGGCTGAGCTGGGGAGAGAAAAGAATTTGGAAAATCCTTTCTTAAGACAAGAGTCGTGTTGCATAGCACCAGGCATAAGGCAGCCCAGGGCAACTCAAGAAGCAGATTCTATGTTAGAGAGAGCAAAAAAAAAAAAAAGCCCATTGAGGCCGGGCGTGGTGGCTCATGCCTGTAATCCTAGCTCTCTGAGAGGCCGAGGCGGGCAGATTGCTCGAGGTCAGGAGTTCGAAACCAACCTGAGCAAGAGCGAGACCCCGTCTCTACTATAAAAAATAGAAAGAAATTAATTGGCCAACTAAAATATATATACAAAATATTAGCCAGGGGGGGCTCTTGCCTCTAGTCTCAGCAACTCGGGAGGCTGAGGCAGTAGGATTGCTTGAGCCAGGAGTTTGAGGTTGCTGTGAGCTAGGCTGACGCCACGGCACTCACTCTAGCCTGGGCAACAAAGTGAGACTCTGTCTCAAAAAAAAAAAAAAAAAAGCCCATTAAAATTTTTAAAATATTACCCCCATTCCACATATGTTATTTATTTAATCCCCATGATAACTCTGTAAGGTAGGTATTGTTATTCCAATTGTTTCCAAGTGAGGAAATGAGACTCAGAGAAGTGAACATGCCCAAGGTTCCATGACTTGAGTCAAAATGTGAGCCCTGACTCCATGAAGAAGTGGCCGGGGCAGGGAAAATACAAGATGAACCTGGAGCATCTTGTGCTGGAGAGGAAGGAAGTGCTTGAGGGTGGGAGCTTATTGAAAGGGCACCCGAGCCAACCTGAAAGAGCTCCCCGTGGCCAGAGCAGGAACATTGGAGCAACAAAGTAAATACTAAATTTAGATTATAACCCATAAAATAAAATAGTTGCCCATGAGTTCTTACTGACATAAACAAATAATTAAATGGGGGAGCAGGAGCAGCTCTTCTTTATAGAAGAATTCCAATGGATAAAAGTAAAAGGAATAAAGGAAATAGAAATTCCCCATTAGAATACCACTGTAATACCACTGTTATTACAAGCTATGGCCTCCTTGCTAAAGATAGCAGGTGAAAGTTTGAAGAAAAACAGGATATTTGTATACTCTCAAAGTGTCTCCCCCAACATATTTATTAATTATAATGAGAAGGATAGTAACTGTGTAATAAATGAATCCAGTAGACACCAGCATAACCAATTGACCAAGATTAACATCTCAGTGATAAGATATAGTGACATCATATATTCCCTGACATTATATACTAAGTAGGTATATGATATATTTGCCCAAAATGCATAGCCTCAATCTAAGCGTGAGAAAACATCAATAAAATCCAAATTGAGGGGCATTCTATAAAATAACTGGCCAGTACTCCTCAAAAGTTCCCCAGCTGTAAAAGACAAGGGAAGACTGAGAAACTATCACAGATTGCAGGAGGCTAAAGAGACAGGACAACTAAGATCAATGGAGGATCCTGGATCAGATCCTAGAACAGAAAAAGGACATTAGTAGAAAAACAGATGACATTCTCATAACATGTAGTTTTGTCAGTGGTTTTAATAGTTTCTTAGTGTTGATCATTGTATCAACATCATGTAAGATGCTAACATACGGAAAGCTAGAGTAAGGGTGCACAGTACAGAAAGTTCTCTATTGTTTTTGCAACTTTTCTGGAAATCTAAAATTATTTCAAAAAGGTTTGTATACTCCTGTTCTTTCACCAGAGTCAACCACTGCTACCTTTGTGGAGAGACAAAGCAAATCTCACATAACCATAATAAAGGCAGATCGCTGTGTTAAAAGAGGTAGTGATAAAGTGCTATAAGGCAGCAGTCCCCAACCTTTTTGGCAGTAAGGACCATTTTCATGGAAGACAATTTTTCCATGGACCAGGGGGCGGGAGGTTTTTGGGATGATACAAATTCATTACATTTATTGTGTACTTTATTTCTATGATGATTATTATTATCTTGTAATATATAATTAAATAATTATACAACTCACCATAAGTTGGGGGCCCCTGCTATAAGGGGTAAGAGTACTTACCAGGCAAGACTGCTATAACAATTAACTATGTTATTAATAGTTCATGTCCAGAACAGTGCCTGGCATAAAGTAGCCTCCATACAAGTGTTAATATTACACATCATTATAGGGAAGATGACAAAAGTGGCAATTGAGTTGGGTCTTGAAGTTGTGTGACTTGACAAGCAGTAAGACTGTATCTCATAAAGACAGACAGACATAGAGCAATAAGGTGGGAGAATTTTCCCCATGTCAGTCAATGATAACAGCAACCAAGATTAGATGGAGTGTATACTTCAAAAAAGGAAATTTTACTGAGTGGCATGGGAATGACATGGTATGGGAACAACTTTAAACGGTGGTAGTAGTAGGAGGGATGAGTATGTTACTTTCTTCCCCTCCCTGGTTTCTACTCCACACAGCAAGTGGAGAAGGAGAAAGAATGAAAACAAAGAAATGGAGTAGCAAGAGAAAACCAAGGCAAGTCGAAGAAGGTAAGAGGCCTTTAAGAAAAATGTCTGTGGAATTGTTAGAGTTGGTCCACAATGAAACAGGGGTTCCAAAGTGTACGGTAGAAGCAACTAGTGGAGATGCTAGAAATAGAGAGTGAATTGTAAAGTAGTCCCTCTGAGAGGGACATAAATCAGGGTACTTTTGTCCATTCACATTAGATTCAGCTGCATGAAACGGAAAAATCCAAAATACAGTGATTTTAGCAAGATAGAGAATGCTTTCTCTTTCCCTGCCTGACATGGTGATTCCACATCATTAAGTCTCTTTCCATCCTTATGAGCATCTCTTCATGTTCCAAATGGCTGCTAGAGCACCAGGCATTAAATCAGCATTACAAGCAGTTAGGAAGGAGGGAATAAAAGAAAAAACTATGCACTCTTCTCTTTAAGATTTCCAGGAATTTCCCATAATAATTCCTCTTGTATCTCATTGGCCAAAACTTAGCCAGCTGCAAGAGAGGCTGGGAGATAGTCTTATAGGTGAGTACATGGACACACAATGGAATTAGGGTTCTGTTACCAAAGAAGATAAAGAGTATGGATGTTGGAGCAGGCAACAAACAGTCTCTGTAAAGGGTACCAAAGACGACAGCTACGGAGAGAAGTTTTCACCTATGTCAGTGAGTCTGATAAATCCTGGGACTCCTTCTCCTGCTCCTCCTGGCCCTTCATATCTTCTGTCATCCCAAAGTCTCTTTCTGGGGAGACCCAAATGGCCCTAATTTCTCTCCAGAAGAGCCTCAATCCTATTAGACTATTAGTCAGTGACCTTGGTATCAGGTTCCTGTTCCCCATGATACTATGCAGAATCCCAAACCCTGGCTAAACCATCTCCAGCCTCATCTCCTCCTACCCCTGCCCCATCAGATATGCCCTACATGACCAGGATTTTCTCTTTTAGAACTGGGTTTGGATCCAATAAGGTAGACTATCTTCAGGCCAGGGTTCTGCACACTATGGCTCTAACCACACATTCTGGGTAAAAATAAGTCAGCATACAAGGAGCCTCCCTGTCCATTCATGGGGCTCATATTTTTAAAAAATAGAGGAAATTCTGAGCACCCTCTCATCATTTCAACAATTAGGAGCTCTAGGATTCATCACACTTTCATTGGCAGGAGGTAGAACATTGGAGAAAAATCTAAAACCCAGCATAAGTAAAAGAAAGACATGGCTGAGTGTAGGTAAACCTAAGTTGGTTTCTACTGACGCCCACCCCCAGGGATAGCTTTAACTTCAAACTGAAAAGCATCTCTTTCCCTGAAAATCCAAACATGTTTCATATGAGGAAAAATAGATCCTTGATATTCTTCCATCAATATCATTAAGGAAAAGGAAAAGCCGGTGTTGCTCTAAGGCTAGCAGTCTACCATATCCCCAGGCAGCTCCCACATTTGGGGAGAGAACCAACATCAGTCTGTGTTTACAGTGTTTGTGTAACCCAATATGGACAGATGGTGTATGAAGTACTAACTGATGTGTTTCATGTCCTGCCCCACTCAACCTGTGTTTCACTGGACTTGTATCCTTTTTCCTTCCTGTCCCCAAAACTAAACAAAGCCCCTCTTTAGGAAAGAGGAGGGATAAGAATTGGAACATAAGCGGGAGAATTAGATCCTGGTAAGATCTATGAGATGGAGCAAAAGGAAGGGAAACAATATATACCTAGATGGGTTTAGTGATCCAAGGGCAGGGAGACTTCTGATCAAAACCAGGAATGTGAACAATATCCTGGCATCCTATCCTCTTTCTCTCAGCACTTCTCAAGACCAAACATGGGTAGATAGGACTGGTCAGTGCAGGCCTGAGATCACTCATATATGTGTGTGTGTGTGTGTGTGTGTGTGTGTGTGTGTGTCTGTCTGTCTGTCTGTCTGTCTGTCTGTCTGTCTGTCTGTATCAGGGGCATGGAAGAACATCTTCAGAGGATGAGAAAGTTCCAGCCAACCCAAAGCCCATAGCATGAGGAAAATGCAGTATGTGCAGCCTACTGACCAGGGCAAAGATACCTCAACATACTCCAGCTGGGAGGGATGCCCATGACTATGGACCAGAAGCTGCCCTGTTGCCAGGATCTAGCCTAGCACACCAGAACTTAGGCACACTCTGGAGAAGCCTTAAAGAAGTTGAGGGAATCATGAACTGTTTCATTTTTAACCTGAAAATGATGGCCCTGTCTCAGAAATAACTAAGATTATGTTTTCTGACATTTGGTAGAAATGGGGCTCAACCAAGAGGCTGAGTAATAGAAAAGTAGTTATTTTTCTTTGCACACCTCACTTCATACCTGTTGTGCCAGTCACCCATTTAAGGTGTAGTGTTAGGTGTTTCTTGGAAATCCGCAAGGTGCTCTGAGAGTGGGCTGAGGGGAAGCACAAAACATTGCTAGGATCTCTGACCAAGTTTTTGTTTTCACTGTGATTATTTTTCTCCAGGCATAGCTCTTACCAAGAGAAGGCCTACTTAGAAAGCAAATAGCAGGAGTTTTGAATACCGGAAAGTAGTTCCCTGGGCAAATGCAGCAGATGAAGCATGAAGAAGTGAAGATCTCAACAGAGATGCAGGAAACAGAATAGAAGATGCAATAACAAGGGTCTAAGAAGAGAGAAGACATTGACGAAGTCCTGAGTCCAGAGAATTAGTAACCAGTAATCTGGTAGCAAGCCCCTCCCTTTGGGATGAACCTCCTCCTCTACAAAATACCTGTCCAGCCACACTCCTCAGAGAGCATTGTGAAGGTCCATGTGATCATTCCATAAAGCATTTGAGGCTCCCTCGAAGTACTCTTCCTTATCCATCTGGCAAACATTACTGTCAAATGCATCAGAACTTTATCATATAGTGAGCACTTCCAAATTGCCTGCTGCTATTATTAATGGCTCAGAGAATTCCTATGTCTCCTTCATGGAACAAAATTCAACTCTCTATTTTTCTTCTGACTTATTATACTCAGCAAAGTCCAACGTATTCTCATACAAATATTAGAACCTATGCCTTCCACTTTTCCTTCCAAAGGTTCTTGGCCCTTGCGATGATAGCTGTGTAACTCCTTAGTGGATGAAACCATCATAATCTAGAAAATCGTTTTTCCGTCTTTTGGACAAGATTTCAAGATTTCATGTGATTTAAGAATCATCTCCTGATCATCCAGTGGGTCTGCTAGTAGAGAAATATTACCCTCAAGGATACATTAGTTTCATGACAAATTTGTGTGACGTTTGGGCTGAGTTCATGGTTCCTACTAAAGAAAGATGTCCGTCATGGAAGAGCACTGAATCAGTAAACGTTAGACCTAGAAAAGACCTTAAAGACAATTCAGTACAACTTCCCTGTTTATAGAGGCAGAAATGAAGGCTCAGAGAGATGAGGGCCTTTCCAAAGGCCACTCCTCAAATTAGGTGCTAAACCAGGTTTATAAGCTTGGTGGCCTAGAGCCTTGTTTAGTGTTCTTTTATGCCACAGTATTTTTATTTTTTTCTTACCCAGGATGCCACAATATTTTAATCTTCTTGCTTGCCTAGTGTGGAAGTTGCTTGTGATGTTCATCAACCCAGACATACCTTGTTTTATTGTATTTCACTTTATTGTACTTCACAGATACTGCATTTTTACAAATTGAAGGTTTGTGGCAACTCTATATCAAGCAAGTATATTGGTGCCATTTTTCCAACAGCATGTGTTCACTTCCTGTCTCTGTCAGCATTTTTAGCAATATTTCTTAATTCAGTTATGCACATTTTTTAGACATAATGCTATTGCACACTTAATAGATTACACTATAGTGTAAACATAACTTTTATATGCACTAGGAAACCAAGAAATTTGTGTGATTCACTTTATTGCAATATTTGCTTTATTTGGTCTGGAACCAAACCCACAATATCTCCAAGGTATTCCTGTATTTCTTTGGAGGGACAAAGGAAGACATTAAGCTTGTTTGGGCCAATGAAATGTGAGCAGAAGTGAGTGTGTCACTTCCACTTTAAGAACCAGTGTGTGATTCACTAAATTCCCTTTCTGCTGCCATGGCAACAGGCAACATACTAGATAATAGAAGTTCCACCAACAGAGGACAATGTGGAGCACAGCCCCAGCTGACTTACAGAGGACACATAGTGTGAGTGAAAATTAAACCTTCATAGCTTTAAGCCATTGACATTTGGGGCTTTTTGTTACTGCAACATCCCCTAGCCTATCCCTACCAGGTAAGCTTGAGCTACGTCATTATTCCCATGATGCATCTGTGTGCATGAAGACCTAAGAGGGTACACAATGCAGAAAATCAGAATACAACTCCATAAAACATTCCAAATTCCGTGTATCACCAGCACTCTTTCTTCCTCTTGGCTTATATTAGGGGTGGGGATGTGGTTCATTACAAAGAATGAGTATTTCGATAACTTCTCATTCTTTGAACTATTCTGCAGGTAAGTGTCTGGTAGAAATTTCCTCTAATCTTAGAGTTTAAAACATAATGAATTAGATTATTTTAATAAGTTCAGTGCATTATGACCTCAAATGCATCATCCTGTACTTACACACACATACATGTGCAAAAACCTTTTGTTTCCTTGGAGGCATTCTATCTAGATAACTCTCAGCACTTTACAAGTTTCCTAATACTACAAGCACCTATATTATGGCAAGTTGATGCTTCAGAAACATTACATCATCAGGTAACTCAAATTAATAGTTAAAAAATTAATGGAGGTACCTCATGGAGTAGTAAGAGAGCTTATGTGACCTTGGGTAAGACACTTTGCCTCTCTGGGCCTCAGTTTCCTTCCCTGTAAAATGAGAATAATAGTAGTACTTGCCTCCCAGGGTTACTGTGAGAATGAAGTTGGGTAATGCACACATGTCTGGTCCATAATAAGTGCATAATGTTAACCATATCAGAGCCATAGGATACTTAGAAATCTAGCAAGTAAACTTGATTCAGACCTTTTGCTTTCCAAGAAGGGTGAATTCAGAATCTATTTGGTCCACCAACTAGTGGTGTTCTGGAAAAGATGTAAAAGCATGGTACTGCCATGTGAAGGTTTTAACACACTTTTGAAAACACAAACTGATTGGTAGGCAAGTACTTATTGCTAACAGTTCAGGAAAATTTTCCAAACCACCTGCTGAGGGCATAGATCCAGCTGGGAAAATCTTTAAAGGGCCAGGCTTATTTATACTTTTTCCATCTTAAACACTTGAACTTTTTCAGGTTTATAACAAAGCTCAGAAAATGCTAAAGCTTAAAGGAGAATTGAGAACTGCCAAGGGAATGAAAGATGAGGTAAGTGTATGAACTCCTCTACATACCTGGAGTTAAACCTTTGTTACCGGGGACTTCTTTTCAAGTTTTGTGATTCAAAATTCCAGTTATAAGCATCACCAAATATCGTGGACAGAGGTGGGCAGCAGAGCACAGTGTTTGAGAACCCAGACTCGAGCTAGGCGGGTCTAGCAGTGTAACACTGAGCATGTTGCCTACTCTAATATTCTTTTGCCCCTTCGCTTTGCCTTTAAAATATGAATGATGAGCACCTATTTAAAAGGCTTGGTATAAGGATTAAATAAGATACTGCCTGTAAAAAGCACTTAATAAATATTATATTAACTATTGTTGCCAACTTTCTCTCTTTATCTGGAATGATATAAAAATGGAGTGTTCTGATTAATTTAATTGTTTGATCAAACTGTGTTTGTGTATTCCTTGACTTGTTTCAGAAAGGATTTAAGGGGCTATTATGGTTAGCATAGAGTTGTCCCACAAGACATGTACTTTTTAACAGACCTCTTACCAAAAGGTGAGGCGTTTCTGCTCGTTTCCTGCTGGATTACCGGAGCTGTTCAGCACTTGCTGGCAGTTTTGCAGGGAACAAAGATCTAGTATGGATTTTCTAGAAGGCCATTTCTTCATTTAACTGATATCTTCGGAGCACCTTTGACGTCCCAGGCATTGTTCTAGGAGCTGAGGATAAAGCAGTGAACAAAATAGACAGGGATTCCTACTCCCATGTTACCAATTATTTCTAGTGAAATAATTTCTCCAAGGACATCATGGTGAAAAGTCTATGGCAACTGCCCAAGTGCCAACAAAAATTAGCCCACATTCCATAGGTAGCTGATTTCTGCCATATGCCATGTGCCAATTTTTATTTATTTATTTATTTATTGAGATGGAGTCTTGCTCTGTCACCTGGGCTAGAGTGCGGTGGCATCATCATAGCTCACAGCAACCTCAAACTCCTGGGCTCAAGCAATCTTCCTGTCTCTGCTGCCCGAGTAGTTGGAACTACAGGCATGCACCACCACACCCAGCTAATTTTTCTATTTTTTGTAGAGACAGGGTCACACTCTTGTTCAGGCTGGTCTTGAACTCCTGGCCTCAAGCGATCCTCCTGCCTCAGCCTCTTAGAGTGCTAGGAGTATAGACATGAGTCACCAGGCTTGGCCAAGTGTGCCAATTTTTAAGGAATTTAGAACACTATATATACTCATTCTTCACTATATGAGCATAATTGGTTCTGAAGTTTTTGTTCACAGGCAAAACCTTGCATAAGTACCCATTAATTCTCATCACAAGTAATGCAAAACCTGTCATGTTTCTATAAATGGAAAAGTAAGTTGAGGAATCAAGTTAGTAATACCAATAATAGTGTTCGAAATTACTGTAGATAACTGCCAACTCTATTATTACACAAATGAAATGCAAAAATTCCTGAACCAACATTAGTGTTTAAGGTTTCATGCTTTTTGAAGCATAACTCTCACCATACATTGATGTATTTTGAATGGCTGTGGTATTAGTGATGGTTTAAAGTCAGTTTCCACTGAGAGTTGAAGATTTGTCCTCATCCTCAGACAAATAAGATAATTTCCCAAAGATGATGACCTTTAAGGTGTTACTGGTTGACTCCAAAATTACTCTGGAAACTGCCACCCAAGCTTCTTGTTCAGGTGCTAAATCCCTGGGAATGCTGCCATTTTGAATCTCTGCAATGCTCCTGGGCTCTGAAAGTGCTACTGAATCACAAGCTCCAATTTAATATCAGCTTTCCCTAAGAAGTAGCATGAGGATATCTGTCAATACTTGGAAGCCTAGAGCAAAATTTCTTCTCTTCTTTGGAAATATATGTTTGCGAAGGCATGTTCTTTGACAAAAGACCCATTTAATCAATACAGAAAATTTGCTTCAGTAAATAACCTATTTTCCAATAATTATCATGAGTATGGTAGCAACCGTAATATCAGCACTCACCATTTTGCCTGAAAGTTGGTAGCTGCTGCTGATGTCATATGTTTCAAAGCAGAGGGACCAGGTTCCAACTTCATATAAGCAAAATTGGGTTTCTAAGTGCATGGCCCATGTAAATGAAAACTCACCTAGCAGCAAAGGCTTGTGATTTCAGCCATCATTAATGACTTCAGATCCAGGACAGGATCAGATGGTGCCTGAGGGTCAGTATTATGAATCTCAGTTCATCTCATGCCCTAGTACTGGTTACAGAGATATGATTGATGAAATGTCACATTAAATCTATTTCTACTGCATGTTGATACTCAAAAGGCATCTGCCCTGGAATTTAGCCTTCATAAAGTAGATAGGATTATAAATAGTTTACAGCTAATATCTGTGGAAGATATTAGCAAGAAATTAGGTTTGCTGGGACCCCAGAAACAATTGCCTTTCTGGAGTTCTGAGGTGAACACAACCTCTTCTAATAACTTCCTACAGTTGAAAAAGGAACATGGTTCATGGAATTATCTTACTGTTCTCCCAGCATCTTCACTCCTGTTCTAATACATCAAACCCCTTTAAAATTTGGTCTTTAGGCATGAATTGTTAAGTTTTGATTTCAAAAGTAAATTTTATTTGACATCCATCAAAACACATTTGTTATTCCATCAGTTTAGGGAATCCTGAAAGAAAGATGATTTATTCCAAACCTCTTGTTTTATGAATGAAGAAATTTTCTCAGAGACTCTGAGCCAAAGCTAAATGTCCAAATTAGATGAGATCAGCTACATTAAAGATCTAATTCTCAACTTCTGGTGGTGCAAAAGAATTGTGCTAGCAAACATTCTACTCAGAGGACATCCAAAACTGGAGGGAGAAGGGATATTTCTATTGGTCTGAGATTTAACTTTTAAGTTAGAGAGGCTCAAGTTACATATCATTGGTATTTTGTTAGTGAGCCCTCAGTGCACTAGACTCAGAGTATAGGGCCTTTGGCTCTGATGTAGAGCAGCCGTTGTGTTGTCATCTAATCTACTCAGAGATGCCAAAGAAACATGGTCCTGTGGCAAGAGTGAAGGGGACCCCTAGGGTCCCACTTCCCAGTGAGGCACCACACCCTCTTCCCAGTGTGGCAATGGCAATCATGACAAAAAGGATCTAAAGCAAACTGCTGCTCCTTATCAAGGATTTTGTATTCAAGTTAGAAAACAGTGTACACCAATTTTTTTAGCCACTCTACACATATTCTCTTAAGAGAATCCCTGGTAATTGCCTTAATGGTAATTACATGCTTGGGGCAGTTGACATCCACTGTTATTTTTCTGGAAGTGAGGAGCAAGGGACAGGAGCAAAAGAGG